ACCTGTCCGCTGCATACCTGCTGGGCATGTGACACTTCCCTCAATGAGCGGTAAGCTGGTCCGGAAACCTCCCACCCACCAATCCGAGGTGGCCAACGATTATGTCGTTCGTGCCGGTTGGTCCATTCTTGGCTTTCGCGGCTTTGGCTCATTTGATGGTTACGTCATTGCTACTCCTATTTGAGTCTATCTACATAGATAGTGCGCAAGTCAGCGACATTGAGCGCGCCTGTACTGGAAGTGGAACGAATCGGAATCGTAGTTTTCTGGTGCAGGTTACGTTTCCTTGATACGTTCCAAGATGCGCTGGCGCTCTGTTGGTCAGGCCGCAGCACCTCACATTGCATCTACCAGCACCTACAAAGAAGTCAACGGCTCCTTTTTCGGAGCCACCAATGCCACGCAAATGTTCGACGTACCTTTGTGCCTGCAACCCGATGGCGCAACGATTGCACGCGCCCCGCACCCCCTCCGCCCCAAGTCCGTGCAAAGTCGGCGACCCTGGTGCTGGCGCCAGGCCCATATCGGCAAGCCGATAAAACGTTGAGAAACAATTTCAGGCATCATCCATCTGTAAGCGGCATTTTGAACACGCGGTCAAAGATCCAAGCCAGACACGCGGCAAGCTCGGTTCAAGCTGGGAACTTGGAGGCTGACTCAATTGACAGCAAACGGTGAGGAGTTTAAGAGAAAGCTACAATAGGTGCAGTGCCGCTGACCTCGTCCCTATGTGCAAAAGTTCCGTCGGAAGTGTTTCACATGGGATCTGCACATGTTTTTGAGGTGTCTAGACGGATGCCTATTTTTACATACTACATACGTTGACTTGTTCACTTCGCAAGGATTTGTGAGAAACATCCAGCACATCGAACAAACAGACTACAGCGGCCTCCGGTTTACCCCCGGAACCCAAGCGAGGGCAGGACTGCTAGAAATACCGTTCAAAGCACTGCCATGTTTTCGTAGAACAACCTCACAAAGACAAAGCCATGTTATGTAGGAATGCAAAGATGATGCAAGATCCGGACAGAATCTGCATCTCGCGCAGATGGCTTGCACAACGCATACCGCGACCTCCTAAAAAACCTGAAATCGATTCTTTATTTTTCTTAGAAAACCTATTCGATTCTGTATTTCTCCTAGAAAACCAGTTATGCAAGCCGAGCTGTTAGTTAGTCAACGGGCAGCTATGTTGCGCATGATGGAGAAAGGACTGGCGTCGGAGAACTCTGTGGAGCTTCCTAGTTCCGTAGTGCAAATGGCAGCGAAAGCCAGCTGCTACTACTAAAGGGAGCACAGCAAGGATCAAGGCGCCTTTTGGAAACTAAGCTGCCCCCAGCACTCGTCCGAAAAGCTGGGTGTGCCCTCGCTCGGCTTAGCGGTCTAGCAGCTTGCAACCACAAAATTGCCGGGACGTTAACATATTCAATGCACCGTTCGCTGTTTCTCAGCGCTCTGTGACATAACAAAAACAGACCCCCCCTACCTACCCCAAGCGCCACCGTATATAAAAGACCTGATGATGTCAACAACGTGCTTGTTAGACAAGCGCCAGCTGACCTGCAGGACGTGAAAGTCTGAACTTTTTTTCATTCCAACCTCGTTCCAGCTTCGCAGGGCGAGGCTTGAGAATGATACTGCCTGCCATTCGGCCCTGAAGGGCAGAATGAGGCGGGGCAACAAAACCTTTAACTTCTTACAGGGTGGGCTCGAGAGAAGATCTACAGAGAGAGACCTGTGCAAGCCAGGTAATTACTCTGGAAACACTTTACATCCCTGGCAGCTGCAGCTGAATTGCTGTGCTTTCGCTGAATTCTTTCCAGCTGGGCTTTAAGAACTGACCTGTGAATGACAGGATTGTGGAAAGATGACGGAAGGAGTGGAGACCACTGCGAAGTTTCCTTCCGAAACAACCTATGGTCCAACACTCCAGTGGAATGCCATTGATGCCCACGATAAAACTCGACATCCAGCATCGTGATTGAGTCAAAGCCGGATGCCTCATATTGCACTTTGAAACATCCAGCACGCCGTTTCAGCGACTGTGCAAATTCGAGTCGTTTTTGATCTAGGGCAGTTGAGGATGTAGATCCCGTCATCTCTAAATCTGAAATAACAGATGATTTGAAAATCATCACGTGTAGTATGCGATGGCACCCATGTTTGCTCAACCATCTTGTAGAATGCGAGGTCTGCTAGATCCCCTGCGCAGCATATACCCATGCCGGCTCCACACTGTACTTTGAAGCATCCTGGCTCCCCCGCAAGGCGAACAAACTGATTGTCAAGAATGAACCTGGTCATTTCGGTCATGCCAAGACGCACGTTTGAAGGAAAGTACTCACTGACTGCCTCGCATATGACATCATGACGCCCACTCATTGGGAATTGGCTTGGAAGTCTTTCTGACATGTGACACTTCCCTCAATGAGCGGTAAGCTGGTCCGGAAACGTCCCACCCACCAATCCGAGGTGGCCAACGATTATGTCGTTCGTGCCGGTTGGTCCATTCTTGGCTTTCGCGGCTTCGGCTCATTCGTGCAAAGTCGGCGACCCTGGTGCTGGCGCCAGGCCCATATCGGCAAGCCGATAAAACGTTGAGAAACAATTTCAGGCTTCATCCGTCTGTAAGCGGCATTTTGAACACGCGGTCAAAGATCCAAGCCAGACACGCGGCAGGCTCGGTTCAAGCTGGGAACTTGGAGGCTGACTCAATTGACAGCAAACGGTGAGGAGTTTAAGAGAAAGCTACAATAGGTGCAGTGCCGCTGACCTCGTCCCTATGTGCAAAAGTTCCGTCGGAAGTGTTTCACATGGGATCTGCACATGTTTTTGAGGTGTCTAGACGGATGCCTATTTTTACATACTACATACGTTGACTTGTTCACTTCGCAAGGATTTGTGAGAAACATCCAGCACATCGAACAAACAGACTACAGCGGCCTCCGGTTTACCCCCGGAACCCAAGCGAGGGCAGGACTGCTAGAAATACCGTTCAAAGCACTGCCGAAACAAACTACAACCCAAGCGAGGGCAGAACTTACCGCGACCTCCTAAAAAGCCTGAAATCGATTCTTTATTTTTCTTAGAAAACCTATTCGATTCTGTATTTCTCCTAGAAAACCAGTTATGCAAGCCGAGCTGTTAATTAGTCAACGGGCAGCTATGTTGCGCATGATGGAGAAAGGACTGGCGTCGGGGAACTCTGTGGAGCTTCCTAGTTTCGTAGTGCAAATGGCAGCGAAAGCCAGCTGATGATCACGTCCGCGCTGCAGCGCGTCGGGACGGAGATGCGGCCTATCAATCAATAAGAAGAGAGAGAGTCCGGGTTTTGGGTTCAGAGTGGCAATGCTACTGTTGTTGCAGAGGCCTGAAGCTTCTTAAGTTGAATCATCAGTAAACGGTAGACCGCAGTCGGGATCCTGGTTGGCAGGAAAGTTGCAACATCAACATCGCAAGGTTTCGGGTGAGGTTTTCGGGCTTCGGATTTTCGGGCTCGCCTGCAGGGTTAGCAATGCACTGGATTTGGGCAAAGCTTCAAGGTTTTTTCAGGGTTTCTGGAGGTTTGGGGTTTTCGGAGGTTTGGGGCTTTATAAACATGATTCGGGTTGATCAAACATCCATCATGGGTTCATTGTCCACGAAAACCCCTGCACATTTTAACCATATTTTGTGAGGTTCGTTCAACACTTTAATACCGGTCTACGGTCTACGGTCCACGGTCGGTCCATGTCCATTGTCTGTCGACATCTACTATTGCACATTAATATAAATTCGCACAATCATGAATCATAATCTGTAGATCCAAGGCAGGAGTACTATCAGTTCTTCGATCACGATGGCAACATCAGCGGCTACTCCGGTACCACGAGGAAGGACAGCTGCCTGGCACGTTACAGAACAGTTGGGATCCGCTCTCATTTGATGGCGCAGAAGGAAATGTTCATGAAGTGGTTGAGGGATATGAAACCAATTCACTGCATTTTCGTTCGCGTCTTCGATGATACCAACATCTGGGTTACTCCGGAGACTGGCCCGCCAAGACTGGAAGATGTAGATGAGGACGTGGCGCAAGCAGACAAACAGGAAGTCAGGGAGCAGGATGAGGAGGAGGAGGGCCTGTCTTGCTGGGCCGTACCGGGCGGCGTAAAGTGCAGGCGCTGCTGGGAATGCTGCAATGGGCTGTTGCCCGACGGAGTGAGAGTCGGAGGGCTGCCACCGATACTGTTGAATCTGTGCAGCTTTTTGCCCCTTCGCAAGTCATGCCGAAGGCAGGTGATTGGTTCTGGTTTCCTGGGTATTGTCGCCAGTCGGAGCCACCAACGGTGGTGGCAAACGTGCCTGTGCCTGCATGGCTTCGCCGCTGTCCTTCTGCCGGCTGACATAATGCCTTTCGCGGCAGACGTCAGGCGCTTGGAGAGCGGAGATGACGGCTCCGCTATCTTCTCTGGACGTGGAGTATGTGGATGCCTCGCCGTCCGCCCCCCAGCTGGAAGGATGGTCCTCTATCTGCTGGGTTGTGAGTATGTGGCCGAATCGAGTCTCAGCAGACACATCCGCAGCACTTTCGAAGCTTGAGTTCTCAGAGCACATGGTTAGAGAATGCCGTGCTTCTCTCCTAGCAGCCTAGCATCTGCAGCTTGGTCCCGCAAGAAAACTAAACAAGCTGAGGGCAACCCATCAACTGGAACAGAGCTTGAATGGACATGGATGCAAGGGCTAAAGAGTTGCTCAGCATGGTGAAGCCCGATGAACCTGTTTTGGATCCCAGGGAGACACGCCCAAGACACTCCTACAGCTGGCACTTTCGGCCTGCTCTGCATGTCCTGATAGGCACGTTTTTAGTGCCAATCTGGTAGTGCAGATGCCTAGCAGCCATATTTAAGCTGCCAAGCTCTGCAACATGGGGAGCTCCGGGTTCGGGCATTGTCGGGTGCTGAAAGAGTTTTTACACTCAACGGACTTCTTAAATAGCTGGCACAGCCGAAACCGCATCAAGGTCAGAAGTCGCCCTGGTCTTTCTCTGGGATCAGGCGTGTGAGGAAAGCAAACCTCAAAGGCGAGCAGCGAGCGTCTCGTGGACGGCTACCATTGCCGGTTTGTCCTTTGCTGAGACCTGTGCTCCTCCCTCCGCCTCGCCTGGCGAAAGCGCTCCCGCACACGGCGGCTGCCTCTGTTCGGAGAGAGATGCCGCTGGAAGAGTTGGGTTTCAGGTCATGGCTCTTGCTGACATTGCAAAGCTGATGTGCGCAGAAATGTTGAGCCGAAGTAGGGTGCAGTCGAACAAGAACACTTCGAGTACCCAAAACATCGAGACCGCCCCTAGTAGATTTGGCAGGCTCGCCCGGGGCCTGCGGCATCATCCTGGCAAAAACAAAACAAAAGATGCCCTCGTCATGCTGCGTAAAGTACCTCAAGTTCGAAGACCGGCCAGGCACTTGGTCCTCGTCGCCTTCCGCAGAATCGCTCCGCAGGGCTTCGAAACCGGAGAGCAGTCGGGAGTTGCCTCGGATAAGCTCCAAGATTCCTCTGCCCTACGATTGCCATGCCCACACGCCCTGACATTCCCATGGCCACGTGACGGCAGAGCTCAGCCGCATCCGCTGCACCAAGGTTGAGCAATCGCCGGGCAAGGCCAAACTCCTCGGGCAAGCGCTCGCACGAAGATGCTTCTTCGAGTCTCATGGCCCGTCCTGACCCAAAGGATCGTCGCCCTGGTGTGAGACGGTGGGATCCTCAAGAGGCGCGAGTGGCATGCGGAAGGACCCCACTACTCCGACGAACAGTTTCTAGCTTGAGGGCGTCTGAATCCACTCGGCTCTTCCAGAAGATTCGCACGTAATCGCACCACATCCCGTGCCTATGCTGCCGAGCAAGGTGAGGCAGACAGGCATTCCCTCCTCGCTGCACAGCGCCACGCGGACGCCGCTTCGAAAGAGGGCGTCCAGCGCCGCAGCCCCCGCCTGGACGCTGCAATGGACGCGGAACTGCGCAATGGGAAACGGAGCACCGCTGGTTCCTCACAGCACAGCCGTTGGACATGCCTCGCCGACACCACCCAAGGACCGCTGCGAGCAAAGCGACACCTCAGCTGACATGTCGGCATCAATGGAGGAGACCCTGCGGCAACCCGTACCGGTAGCCTTGAACGCACATCTCGGCTTCTCGGGAAGCAGTTCAGCTACAGCGGGAAGACGTTGATCCGGCTCTTTGCATGAACGGTTCTGGCCTGAGCACCGATGCGATCGAGCATGAAGAGATACCTGTGCAACCAGGCACAAAACACAAGAAATGGCAGCCGCGCACGATGGAAGAACTTGTCGGTCATGTCACATCACATTCCATTGAGCCCTAAACTTCGGCAAACTGCGACCCCAGTCTTTCATCCGAGCGACTGCAGAGGAGCATGCGAGGCGAGGGATGCGCACCTCAGGCTCAGGCTCTCCCACCGAAATCCACCCGAAATCAGCAACAAAAAAAAAAAACCGCTGCGTCCCCGACCCGGAGACGGAGTTCGCTCCAAGCATGTACGCACAGGCCTCGCAGCGGCAGCGGGGCCATCCGCCGGAGCGGAGGCTCCGTAGTTAGCGGAGTTTCCTTTCACTTCCACGGCTTGCCCTGAGCCCACCGCGAGACCCTCAGCGCCAGAGGCCTGTGCGAGCACGAAGCAGGGGACTTCACTGTCAAACGCAATGTTGCCACTGGTCAAGCCGATGCTGAAAAACCGCGGGGCATCGTGAAGTGCACGGCATTTCCAAAGGAGTGCTGCATTGTAAAGCCCTCTCTGAGTCTCTCCCTCTTCCTCTGGTGAACCGCAGATGTGACTTGCACGCTGCGGCTCTCAGGCTGGAGCTGAGGCTCGCAGCTCGAACTCCTGGGAAGCCAATTCGCATCAGCCCACAGTGCTCGAAAAAAACACAACACACGCCTAGCCACGACTTGAATCCTTGCAGTCTCAGCATACTTGTCTAACTTGCTTCAGCTCCGCAGGACTCAGGACAGACGCAGGACTGTCTTGTTACGTTATTGATTGGTGAAGCTCCTTCCTCTTGGCCTGCGCGCAGGCATGGTTGAGGCCTGCAGCTCCATGCCGAGTCTGGCTCAACTCAATGCTCAACTCTAGCCTACAACTGCTTGCACAAATTTCATGTGTTCAGGAACGCGAATGCAGACCTGCGGAGATCTACACAATTTTCAACCGATCAAGAGAAAAGTAATTCCAGGCCTCGCAAGCGTGCCCAGACATGGTAGAGCTGATACCTGGGTGAACGTCACTCGCACCAACTTGAGGTACAAGACTTGACTGCGAAAAGCTTGAACCAGCCTCGGCCCCAAGGCCACTTGGCGATGCTTGGTATCAAACTTGAGTCGCGGACGCAAAAGCAGGTGAGGACCCATCACTCCAGTCGCTCGGCTCGCGCGAGACCTGATTGGCAAGTTTCCTCCTACAGCGAGCAAAAGCTGATTGGGCCTGGGACAACTTGCCGCATCCAACTCTCGAAGCATACCCGGCTGAACTCTCTCTGCCATGCGGGCGTGCTATCCCGGGCCTCTGTCGTCAAGGGCTCGCTGCCCCCGTCCGACCTCGAACAACACAATCCCGCCCACTCTGTATTTGATGGATAGTCACGGCTGTGCGCTTCAATGACGGGATGGGCAAGTATGCAAGGAGAAATTTCAATCGGCTGACCTCCTCACTCCCGCCATCTCCTCTCCATCTCTTCACTGGGTGCACGGGCGCAGAGACCTCGAAGGCCACGGTATTGCTCAGAAGATCCCCGAGCCGTTGAAAGGCCTTCGCAACACAGCTCCTTCGCCTCCCACAGCACTGGCGGTAACGTGCGCCTCCGATTGTGGCTTGTCCAAGACCTCAGGCAAAGCCGAGCTTCGGCTTTGGTTTTAGCTTTGTCTCTGGGTCCGTGGGCCAACTTCAGCAGCGGCCCGAATGCGTTGCCCAGCAGCTCGCCATAGTCCAGGATGGTGCTCCGCGCCTACGCTCTCGGCTGAGGTGACACTCAAGCATCGGGGTCTCGACACTGAGACCAGAAATCCATGGAGCCCTCGGTGATTAGCGTGCCGCGGCTCCCTTGCACCAGGATTTAATTTGCTCCGAACTCGCTGCAGAGAGTCGCTCCAGAAACCGGAGAAACGTCTGGACACCTCCAAAGCTGAATCCCATGGCCTTGAGGCTTGCATAGCCGGCTTGGGGGAGCTGAATAACCTCCAGCCAGACTTGTTCGCGCTTCAATCTACCGATCCTTGTCGACTGAGGAAAGAACTAGAAGACAAGTGGCCCGAAAGCATCATGTGCGAAGAGTTTAGCGCTATGTAAAGTCAGA